GTCACAGTCAGTTACACTCGGATCCTTAGTACCTGAGTATGGATATAAAGTCATCAGGTAGATTTCACTGATAATGTTTATCACCTCTACTATTTAACATGAAGTAAATTTTTATGCTTCCTCCTCAAATAAGTCTTTTTTATTTGTTTTTTTGGTGTGTATATCATACAGAACATCCCACACAATCTTATTCATCTATATACCCACTTCCCAAATGGTACCCTCCCATAGCCTTCCCCCTCCCACACACTGAGCCCATATACTCTGCATTCCCTGTTACTGTCCACTGTGTTGTCGGCACCCTCAGCCATTCCCCAGTGCTTATCTGTCTGCTGAATCTAGTCAGCGTATCTAGAGATCCTTGTTTTAGGAAGATCAGCTGTTCCTCATCTAGCAGCAATCAGTTGTCAATATTTCTTTAGATAAAATTGGGGTCTGCTGTTTATTTTCCCAGTTCTATGCTGGTTTACAGTCTGGGAGTCTTTTGGGGCACCCTGGCCAATAACTCAAAGGAAGGTATCTCCTGTCTGGTATTGTTTCTTGTTATGTAGACTTTAGCCATACATATGGACTCTTAAAATTTTTATTGACCCCATTAATCTTTGGTTATACTTTCCTTTTGGGTGTTTAAGACACTACAATTGGCCCAGATAAACCAATTTATTTTTACTCTTAAAGTCACTTGAGGATCTGTTCCTCAGGGGTAACATGGGCTTGGGGGGAGCCCCGGCTCCATTCTTTTACCAGTTCCGTCTATGTGAAGATAAGTCAAAGGTCCTCCTCAACCATGGCTGGCTTCGCTTGGAAGCATGGAGGTCTGTGTTGACCCTCCTTTTTGTAGACTGGACACTGGTTCAAGTCCATCTGGTGGGGTTCCACGGCCTCCTTGATCAAGAGGATAGGTGACTCACCAGATGTAATATATAATATATAAATAACATATTGTAGGACATATTTGACCATAGACCCACCTGAGGCTCTAAGTCCATGACACAGATCTTTTCTTCATCAAGGACTGCATGAACAGCATCCACACTAGTTCCATATAGGTGGCCTTTGTACTTACCGTGCTCCAGCATCCTATAAAAGTGAGACAAAGGAAGCAAGTTTTCCACAAGGAAAATATTAGTAATTATATGACTGAAAACTCCAAAAGAATTGAATTTGAATATGTAGACTTTGCCAGCACAAAAAGAATGAGTGGATCTTCACCAGGAGGAAAACATCAGGAAACCAAGGACTTACCTACTTTCTCAAACCCTCTAAAGCTCGCAGCTCAATTCTATTCCTTTTCCAAAACTGATGAGTTGGTGAACTAGTCCCTCAGTGCAGATTTCCTTGCTTAACCTTTTAGAGATGATGAATTATTGCCAAGAACTTTGGATAATGCATAAAAATGGACAACTGAGTGTCAAATAACCAGAGGTGAGAATTGGCTTCTGAACCTTACCTGTGACTATGCATGAGAATTTCAAAGGTTTCCTTTGACACATAATGATACTCCCACCCATCCATTTTGTAACTCTTTGGGGAACAAGTGGTATCTACCAAAAAAGAGAATGGAAATTTTCAGAATCCTCAAAATATTTTGATTTGTTACTAAATGTGCACTTGTATAGAAATGCTCAACTGAAATAAATGAACATATAAACAGATAAAATGCTAGAACCAAAAAGAGGAACAGTTCTCATATCCACCAATCAATAAAACTTTATTGATGCTCATAGTGTGAAAAAGACATGTTATAAACATTAGGATAAGGAGCCCCTAGGGAACACCTGATGTTATTTTCAGAGCAGGTAATACTGAATTATATGCAACTCTAAGACGCCTATGTACTCCCACATAGCAATTCCAACAATACCTTCTGTTTATATAGTGCATTTCTGATTATCTCCTTTCATCTACCACACTCAGAGATAGGTGAAATGTTATTATCCATATTTAACTAGCAAGTTTACCTGAAACTTTTCAAGAGTAACTAACTTGCTCATTCATAAGACTAATGCTTCTTCCAACACTAATATTTTTAACTACACCAGATTGTCTCAAATCTAAAATAAAGTCCATGGCATTCTGTAGCCTTGCCCAGATGCATTAATACCCATATAAGAGGAGTGATTAGCTTTGGAGACAATAAAAGGGGGAAAACTGATCAATCCAGATTCAATTTGATTCTTTGATGTGGCCATTTTAATTTAGACTTCAATTTAAATAGCATCTGTAGAGAACACACAAGTTCACCAAATACCTAAAAGTGATTTATTTATTATATATTCCTCTATTTATTCAACTAACACATATACTAAGTGTATTTAGTATACAGTATACATATACTGTATTCCAGGTGTTATGTTAGAAGAATACACAGTTCCAACTCTGTATCCTACGTGCTGCAATGTTAATCCCTTATTCTGTGTTACAACAAATTCCCCTTATAAAAAAATTCTACTTGCATTTGGCAAAGTTTAAGGAGGAAATAGATCAACACCTGATGATAAATGAAAATGGCAAGTAGGAAGCTTGAAACAGGACCTCAGTGATGAAAGGAGGAACAGAGCCTTTGAAAGGGCTCAAAGAATAAATGTCATCTTGGGGTCATTTTTTCATTTTTTCCTACAGCTTCCTACTGAGGAAAAACAAAACTAGTAAAGCCTAAAGCTCCCAAGAGAGAGTAATTATGTATATGTAACCTAGAATGACTTCTGTTGGATTGACATTTCGTAAGCTAGGTTAAAAATCTATGAATTCATGCATAACCCAAGGTATCTATTCAAGTTCAAAACTGTTCACTTGATTTCAAAAAGCAAAATATGTGCAATCTTTCCATTTTTGAATAATAGCTATCTACGCACTTAGGATTCACCTATGTACTTTAGATGTTTTACTTCTAACATCCCTCCTTTACAGATTTCCCTCTTAGTGCCTCAGACAAAACTTTAACTTCCTTGGAATCTGTGGGCTATTAATTACATTTTTATAATAATATATTCTTTAAATTAGGAATCCTATTTTAAGTCGTATCTATTTTTACAATAAAGTATGTTTCTGCATGATTTTTAAAAGCTATTTATTGGATATTTGGTCCTTGTAGAAACACATAATAATATTTTTTAGAATTGCAGTCTTCCAATGTCTTAAGCTTAAAAATACAAGGGCAATAGAGAAAAATCTGGAAGACTATGTCTTAGTAGTTGGAGGCAGTGGTAAACAAGGATCTTAGCAAAGGTAAAGGAGCCATAAGTAAAAAGAAATAAGAACATATGATTTAAAAAGCAACATGAATGTGAAAATCATACTCATAAATTTATATTTAGAACTTGAGATAAAAATAATGCCAAGCCCAATGCCAGAAATAAAATAAGCACTAAATAAATTTTGGTCATTATTACTAAATACCTGTTATCCTGAAATGCCATATATATGACTACCAAAAAAAGGATGGCTCAGCAGGTAGAGAGGTACTTTCTCAAAGCCTTATGACCTGAGTCCAATCCCTAGAAAAATGATAAAAGGTGAGAACCAACTCCCACAAGTTGTCCTCTGACCTCTACTTTAAAAAGGAAAAGAAGAATCATATTTTATGCCAGTAAGCAAATATAGTTAGCATACTTAAGAATTAGCTCTTATACTTTTACAACAAATCTGATAGGATATAGTTGAGTGGCATCAGTACACTTGAAGACAAAATTTTACCAAAATATGAACCACTATGAAAGAAATATTAACATATGTGGCACAGCACTTTGAAAACGGCTGGGATTAAATTCAATAAGTTGTCTTCTCAGTTCATTGACTCCAACCCCAGAAGGTCCTGAACACAGAAAGTCACAAATCATTAGCTGTAGATAACTAGGATTATGTAGTAAAATCATGCCTTCAGCAAATGTTGTCAGGGAAATTATGTAATATTTTTTTTTCATAAAACAGAACAAGCCCAGAAAAACCTTGAGAATTTTCCTGAATGGCATTTATAAAAGAGATGTACAACATTCATAGGAATCTGCCACCCAAGAAAACTGTTGAATGCTCTGCGACTTTGCTTGTCTTGCTTCAGATATGAAACATACTCTTTCTTCTTAATAGAGTCTCTACCAAGTCACAATCAGAAAGCAGTCTTGTCAGCCATAGGTGCTGTAACAAACAGAATTCAGAGGCACGTTTCTGATAAGTGACTGCGTAAGTAACATCTTGTCCAATTAGAGGTAGAGCTGACATCATGGGCAGGGAGCTTGCTCAGTTATACAGAGCCCACACTTGAAGGACATTATACTTAGATTAATGCTCTGCTAGTCCACCTGGAAAGCCATGATTTTTGAACACAGGGTCTTGCATTTTCATTTTGCAATCAGTTCTACAAATGATATAGCTAGGCTGGCTGCCAGGCATGTTCTGTTCTGTAGAGACCTGTCCTAATCACAGCTAACAAGTCACAATGACAGTAAGTCATAATTTTCTACTGCTCCAGAGAGCAAACTTTGCAGAGATCTTGACCACAAAACTAGGTGACCCCAGCCCAGTATTTGCCCTGTTCTTTAGTGCCAAAGATACAGTCTAGAAGATCTAGACATTTTTCTAAAGGAAATGACTTCTTAGAGAAATGGTCTTTGATCTATAGTTTTCCTAATATGGACTAACGATGCAGTCTGGGATACATTAGCCATGCTTCGAGACAAAACTGTAAACAGGCAAAAAAAAAATATCTCGGTTATAACCTTATTACAGCTTGTTAATACACAAGTTATTATTCATTATATTCAATTGTAGATCAAAGGAGATGAGAAGGAGGTGAAATGAAGGGAGAAGGCAAAGGAAGCTTACCTTTGACAGCTTTCATATAAACATGTAAACACACATATAAACAGTCTTTTTGTTTTGAGACAGGGCCTCACTATGTAGCCCCAGTTGGCTTTGGAACTTGCTATGTAGACCAGGCTGGCCTCGAACCCACAGAGATCCACCTCCTTTACCTCCCAAGAGCTAGGATTAAAGGCCTGACATAAGCAGGCTTTTTAAAAAGTGTTTACGTGAAGGTCTGGAAGAATTCTACTTTTACTACTCCCCTCAACACAAGACAGTAAACCTAGGACAACCTCCCAGGGCTGAGAAGAGACAGCATGAGTTGGAACACACCCACGAGCACTATGATGCAGTACCTGTCTGTTGGGTGTCGCTGGTACCTCACTACCTCTTCATAAGGGGCACCCCCTGGACTGGAACAGCTGCCAGTGCAGCACATGCTGGTGTGCCTCTGACTGAGGTGAGACTTCCTGCGACAGAGGCGCATGCTACGGTGGAAACCGGCTGGGAAGGGAGGAAATACACAGAACTTAAGAGGCAGGGCAGGACAGATACTTCTTGTTTCAAGAGGCAGATGTCCCAAGAGATATGTGTCAATGGCATCCAGCATCTACCAGGGCTTATGCTAGGTGCTGGGGATACAGTAATCAACTAATCGAAGCTATTTTCTTGTAAAATTTACAGTTCATGGAGGAAACACAAAAATAAGCAATAACAACAAAAATAAATGCTCAGAAAAAGGGTGACTGGACAGAGTGACAGGTGTTTTTTAAGGATGGACTATTCAGTTAAAAGATCTGAAAAGCTAGCAATGAGCAGGTGCCAGAATGCATAAGCGTCATCTGCAGGATAGAGCAAGCCAGGCTGCAGGAACAGCAAATTCAAAGGCAGAGATCACCAGCTGCACTTGGAGCCTTTGAAGAAGGGCAAAGTAGCCTGCAGTAGCTGCAGGGCTGTGAGCAATAGGAACCTGAGGGCTGAGGAAGGGGCCAGAGCCAGATCACACAGGGCCTCAGTGATGCGCTGGGCAGTTATCAGTGTGATGAGACACCTTGGGACAATAGGAAGACAGGATGTATGTGACCTGGTCTAGGTTTCTGAAGCATTCCTCTTGTTGCCATGGAGAGCATACAACTGTAAGGAAGGGAAGTGTAGCCTCAGGGAGAGCAGTTAGGAACCTACTGCAGTGGTCTGAGGGAGTGAGGATTGTAGCTGGGGCAGGGTGGAAACACTGGAGTAGTCTTATCATTCACATTTTTCAGATGGGTACACTGTGATGCAGACAGCTTAGGTGGTTGCTTCGGGTGGTATGATCATCAGCAAAGTTGGGGCCTCTTAATCATGATTTCTGTCTGAATTCTTAGAATGTCACCTGTCCATTGAATCAAAGGGCTTTTTGCTATTTTATAGCTGTTTGCAGGTACTCTCAAAAGGTAGAGCTAAAAACTATATATGAATGTATAACTTTATGTTTTTTTATATTGTAAACTGTGTGTGCATGTATAAATTTTTGTTTATCTATACTGAAAACCATGATTTCCTGCCAGTGCCTGCACTGTAAATGCTAAACAATAGGATTCACTGTAGCTTTCCCCTCCTAAGATGAGCTCCCTTCTCAGACAGCAAGAATTGTCTGAAATACACTTTTTTTTTTTTGGTCTTTTTAAGACAGGGTCTCTCTGTAGCCCCAGCTGTCCTGGAACTCACTATGTAGACCAGGCTGGCCTTGAACTCACAGAGATCCGCCTACCTCTGCCTCCCGAGTGCTGGGATTAAAGGCGTGCGCCACCATGCCCGGCCAAAATACACTTTTTATATCACACAACAGCACCTGAACTGGAAGGCACCTTGGTGGAGGTTGTGGGGTGTCAAAGGGTATAGATAGCAGCTGTCCCCTCTCTCCTCCAGCCTTGACCACCTACAGGCCACCACAGTCCCCTGCACAGATGCCCTCCTGACCTGCTCAAAATCTTTTTTTTTTTTTTCACCTTTGTGAAGCTGCTTAGTTTGCTTAGTTTTCTCAGCCTTACCTAAAAGTTTCTAGGCTGATTCTAGAAGTAAGGCAGAAGGATACCCCTTGTGTCTTAATGCCTCCAATTTTCCCAAAGTCCACTGAGGCTTGGGGACAACATTCTAGCTTCTAGACTGCAGCTCAACAGCTCTCCCCTGCCTCCAGATGAAGGGGGTCCATAGTGTTTTGAATCAGAAAGACCTCCTCCTTTAGAGAGCACTGCCCAGATGATGGGTTACAGAAATGTGGCCAGAAAAGATTACTTTAATAGCCAGGAAATTTCTCTCTTTAGGGTAAGCTAGATAGGTTGTAGAATAGTCTGGAATAAAATGAGTGGATATATGTTTGACAAATAGTTAAGAGATACTCAGTGAAATCAGATGAATAACAACAAGTAATCAATAGATCAGATCATTGACCAAAAAAAAGCTGATGGAGGGAAGCTGGCACAAGAAAAACCAGAGAGAGGGAAGTTAGAACAAAGAAACAAGCTGGACGTGTCCATCAGCAAAGCAGCTTTTGGCAGGGCATCAGAAGAACATGACTATTACTGAAAAACAACAAAGACTCACCTCTTACTAATATCACCTACCGATAAAGAATTTCTGCCCAGCGCCAACAAATTCCTCCTTATCTGGAACATAGACAATGGTGGGAGATTATGTGAAGGCAAAGACAGGGTTACTGAGAACAAATACATGGAATCATCTTCTGATTTTCAAGTGGCACTTTCAGGAGGTGGCAGCCCAGCTGACATTATCCTTGAGTACTCATCAGATTGTTCTCTACATTTCCCATCCTATCATTCTTCTTGAAAATTTATTTATATTACTCTGTGTGTATGTGTGTGTGTGTGTGTGTGTGTGTGTGTGTGTGTGTGTGCATGTGGAGGTTAGAGGACAATTTTGTGGATCAGTTTTCTCCTCCACCTTTACTTGGATTCCAGGGATTGAACTCAGGATGCCAGACTTGCACAGCAAGCACTGTTACTAGCTGAGCCATCTCGCTGGCTCTGTCCTATTATTCTTACATAATAACCCACAGAGATGTGCTCTTCAGAACTTTAGCATTGCACTCAATGTATTTTGTCTAGGATGACTGAGAACAGGAAGCTATTTTAGGCTTGATTGACGTTGTAGAAAGAAGCTAGACATGGTGGAACACAACTATAAGCCAAACACTCAGGAAGCTGAAACCTGAGAACCACAACTTTGTGGCCAGCCTGAGCTACATGTTGAGAACTTACTGAAAAAAAAGATTCTGAAGCTGGGCATGGTAGTGCATGCCTTTAGTCCCACCACTTGGGAGGCAGACGCAAATGGATCCCTGAGATTGAGGCCAGCCTGGTCTACATAGTGAGTTCCAAGTCAGCTGGGACTACAGGGAGATTCTGTCTCAAAACAGACAGAAAAAAAAAAAAGCAACAACAAAGATGCTGAGTTATAGTAAAACTGTATAAAACTTGGTATACATTTAAACATATTCAGAGAATACTGATTTTACAAAAAAGACAAAACCAGTTGGTGTTGGCTTTCTCTTGAAGATAGTGTTCCTGCAGGTTCTGTAGCAATGCTGTGATGCTTAGTTTTAATTGTCAACTTGATACAAGCTAGAATCATTTGGGAAGGGAGTCTCAATAAGGAATTTTCTGGATCAGGTTGGACTGTGGGCCTATCCGGGGGCTGGGTGGTGTTGTCTTCATTACCTTAATGGAGGTGGGAAGACCCACCCATTGTGAGCAGCACTATTCCCTGGGTTTGAGTCCTGGACTGTGTAAGAGTGGAAACAGCGGGGCTGGAGAGATAGCTCAATGGTTGAGAGCACTGACTGCTCTTGCAGAGGACCTGAGTTTGATTTCCAACACCCACATGGTGGCTAACAACCGTCTATAACTCCAGGAGAATCCAACGACTTCTTCTGACCTCCTCGGGCATTGCACAACATGGGTATACTTACAGGCCATACACTCATGCAGGCAATACACTCATACACATAAAAATAATAAATAAAATATTTTTAAAGAGTGGAAAAAGTGAGCTGAGCACACGCATTCCTTCTCTGCTCTTGACTGCAGATGTGACTAGCCACTTCGTGTTCCTGCCTGACTTCTCCACAGTGACAGTCTATAACCTGGAATTGTAGGCTGAATAAACTCTCCTTGAAGTTTCTTTTGTGAGGGTGTTTTTTCACAGCAACAGGGAAGAAAACTAAAACAAATGCTTTTGCTAGACCTAAGTTTTTATTTTTTCCCTTAAACAATGGTTCATTCCATATAAAATTAGTACTTGCTCTATGGTGGCCAGTTGTTCCTAAACAGCCAGGAACCCGTGAAGTGCAGCAAAGTAAACAGTGTCCCGTAGCATTTAGAGCCACTCTAGACTCTTGCTCCTGCTTCTACTAGCAACTCAGAAAAATGGCTATAAACTCTAGAAAAGTTTACAAAAATAACAGTGTCAAGTTACTTTGTACTTAAACCCCTTGTTATTTAAACAGCTCTGTAGCCATCATTGATGTCACATACAATGAGCATTTGTTCACAGATGACCTGACATATACAACTTTCTTTCCTTAACCTTATTTTTAAGAATTGTTTTGTTTTGTTTGTTGTGACAATGTCTCATGTAGCCTAGATTGGCCTAAAATTTTCTATACAGCTAAGGATGACCTTGACTTCCTAATTCTCCTGCTTCCATCTCCCAAGTACTGAGATTACAGATATATGCCCCCATACTTGACTTTAAGCATGCGTTTTCAAATACAAAGAAAACACCAATATCAATTCCATTTTCTAGTACTTAAGCACATTTTCCCGAGATATGTCAATAAGTTTATAAGGAAATATTCACTAAAGTACAGATTCATAAAGCTTAATTTCTTTCATCATTCATGATGTTTCATGATGTTCATGAAACTCAGTGTTTCTATAACATTGAATATTTAGTCACTGATTTGACTCTTAAAATGCCATGTCTTCAATCTTAACAGTTACTTTGCCAGGCATTCACTTGGTGGCAGTAAAAGGCCTTGAACGTGGCTCTAAGTGGTTTATCCAGGAAATCAAAATGAACAATTACCTTCTGCAAGTTCCTCTGGATATTTGATCAAGTATGGGAGAAAGGAAAAAAATTAAGCTTTGAGAAGATCAAGTTAACCATCAAATAAGGAAAAATGACATAGCAAGGCATTCATGCCATCATTAGCAAAAGTTGTAGCTTGGCAAGGCAAATAAAACACACACTTGGGGTCTCAGAAACTCATTTGATCTGACACTGCTGCTGTGGGCAGTAATTTTTTTTCTGAAAGTCATTGTATCAAAATTCACTCTGAGGATGTTTATCTGTAAAGACTACTGATTGGCATTAAATGGTGCTTGAAAGAAAGTAGAAAGGCAATGGATTTGAGCCTTCTCTTTCCTTTCCCACAGGCTGTACTGATACATCCCTTGGAAGGAGAGGAAGTGACAGAAGGATGTTAGGCAGGTGGGGCAGACTCTGCAGCAGTCTAGCAGAGTATCCTTGGCACAGGCTGGTCTAATACACACACATTTTCAACTCCAGCTGGCCCTTTGAAGACAGAGGGATCTAACCACAAAGCAAATTGTTAGAGGATTGCTTGTTGTTATCTAGACATGTTGAAATGGTTGAATTTTCTGTTGTTGTTAAATGGTTTTTCTAGTTAATAGACTATTTCACCACCTCCTGGGGATATTTGAGAAGGCCACATTAGACTTCATTGAGAGGCAGAGACAGAAACTAAAGAGCCATAATTACTCACTAAGTTGTCCTAGTAACAAGAACAAGTATCATGAATGACTGCCGAGGGTTATCTACTTAGAAAATATGCCAGTGGAGGCCAGGTGCCGTGGCACATGCCTTTAATTTCAGCACTCAGGAGGCAGAGGCAGGAGGATCTATGTGAGTTCAAGGCCAACCTGATCTACATAGTGAGTTCCAGGTCATCTGGGGGCTATAGGGAGACCCTGCCTCAAAAAGACAAAAAAAAGAAAATATGCCAGTGGGTGCCAACTGCTCCTTGATTGAGCTCCTAAGGAGCAGTTCAAAATATTCTTGACAGTTCTCACTCACAAATAAAAGACCTTCCAATGGGGTGCTTTACAGTAGGCAAGGACACCTGCATACTTCCCTCTGCAGGGCTGGTCTTAAGGAATCAGGTGCTAGTCACCCCTAAGAAACAAGATTTCATAATCATGACATCAGCCAACACTAGTGTAGTGCTTACTGTATGTTGGGGTCTGTTCTGGGCACTTTTCTTATGTAGAGTATTGCTTATTTTAAAGCTATGGAACCTAAAGGTCAAAGAGGTTAAGGGCCACAGAGCCCACAGTGAGTAAGTGACACAGTTTGTACTCGACCACGTGACTCCGGTGTACTGTGTATCCAATCCACAACACTGCCTCTCCTTTCACAGACTCTGCAAATACCCAGAGCCTCAGAGCATTTTCCAGCAAAATGATTAGGTGAACAGAACAAAAATAAGGATTAATATAATATGATTAAAAATGAAGTCAACCATAAACACTGAACCAAATATAGACAATTAAATTATCTCAAATGGGCTAACCATCTCATGGAGAATAGGAAATTAGAAACAACATAAATGGTAAGTAAATAATTCAAATGGTTCCTAGCTCCATCTGTCTTAATGCTATCCTTTTACAATGAATACTTATAACAACCTCTCTATTCTTATGAAATGAATTCATAGAAGACACAATCTACCACGCATTAATTTTAAAAGATTGCCACAACGTTTTAACTGTAGTATAAAATAAGAATTAAAATGAAATAATTTATGTCTTTTGTATCAGCCTCCTATCTCACCCTAGGAACACTGGGGTTACAGCTGTGGACTACTGGCTTTACATGGGTTCTGAGGATACAAACTCAGGTCCTCCTGCTTGTATGGCAAGCACTTCATACATGGAGCTATCTCCCCAGCTTCCTGAGTCACTGCTTTCTAAACATTATGGTTTATAAAAACTCACAATACTCTTATGCATTAAGGAGCTGCTTATTTGTACCTGCATTTGCTACTATCTAGTGGGAAGCTATGTGGGTCTAGAAATAACCCTTCGTTGTGCAGGATGGTCACATACCCTGCAGGACATTGGCATTCCTGTTCCCACCAGTTAAAGGATGGAAATACTCCCGTTATATGGGACAAAGACTGCCCTACAGAGCTCCAAATGCCTCCATAGGGGCAGCACTGGCCCTCAGGGAAGCAGCTAGTTAAGTGAAATTTACAATATCTCATGAATAGATATAGTGTTTATTTGTTTTTTTAAATATATTTCATTATTTATATCTGAAGTCTGTAACATGTTTGGGGATCCACATGGATAATAAAATGGTCACTGCGGTGAAGCAAATGAACATATGATCTCACATGGTTTTTCATTGTTATTCCTTATAGTCTCACTTAAACAGTTGTTATGTCATACTTCTAAATGTTTAAATTATATCAAAATACAGAATACACATTGAGAAATTAGTACTGAATACTCTTTCACCTACCAGGTTCAAAAGTTTCTTCATCTGTGGTTTTCAGTGGAAGTGAAAAGTAAAAACATCATTACATTGCTATCCATACTGAGTCTACATTTTAGCAGCCTGGTCTATGTTTCTGCCCCTACCCTACCTTTAAAATGTTCTTCCTAGGTCAAGGTCAAGTCCATGTTATCTCTATGGCATAAGCAATGCCTTTCATGAGATATAGGGCTGTGACAACAATCAGGAATGCAGCAGGAGCATAAGACAAATAAATAAAAGGAAAGGGGCTTGCATAGGAAACACCTACAGACTGTTGAATGTGTCACAGCCTGGCTGTGACAGGACTCATCAATGCAGAGGGATGTACCTTTCCTGCAGAGCTGGGGCCCTTTAACCATGGGAGTGTGGCGAGAGGAATTAGCATACAGCTGGCTGTCTTGAGTAGGATTATTCAAGTGATCAAGAAAGATGAGATAAACCAATTCCCTCACTAGTTAAAACAAATCTTGTTATCTTTTTAAAATTTAAAAAATTTTTAAATTTATTAGTGTGTTTCTATGTGTGTGATAGATATGTGTGAGTGTGGGCGGTATGCGCCATGGCGTGGAGATCAGAGGACATGTGGCAAGCATTTTAACCTGTTGAGTCATCCTGCCAGTCTCTTGTTATCTTTTTAAAAGGAATTTAAGGATTAAGAAACTAGAATTTATTCAGAAGACAATTTGAAATGTACAGCAGCGTTCCCCATCAGGCCTCTGTGAATCAGGTGATGCTGCAGCTAAGGTGTACTCGCATATGTGGAATGACATGTTTATAAAGTTATTTGTTGTAACACTGCTTCTGATGGAAAAACAGGAAGCTGTTAAAAAACATGAGGAGTCTCCCATGTAAGACAGAATCATCTTCAAGATACAGTTAGAAAGCCAGGAACAAAAGAGTGCTTGCAGTATGTGGATAAAGGGTCTGAGCATTTATGTTTTTGGGAAAAGGTGGAAGGGAAGGCAGAGAAAAGAATGTGGATCATTGCTTTTATTTGCAAAGGGTATGTCTGGAGGGATACTACAGAAACTGGGAACATCGATTCAAAAAAATGGAGGGTTGGTGAGATGGCTAAGTAGGTAAAGGTACTTGCTGCAAAAGCCTGGCAACCTGCGTTTGATCCCTAGAACCCACTTTGAGGAGGAAGGAGAGGACTGAAAGAACTGAACTGACTTCATAAAGTTGTCCTATGGCTTCCACATGAGTGCTGTGGAACATGTGTGTCCCCCTAAACATGTATACACACACACATACAAATAAATATAAATAAATAAATAAATAAATAAATAAATATTTTTAAAAAGGAAAATCAAGCAGGGAAACAGGGAAAAGAAGGCACTGTTCACTGAGTATGCTCTTGTGGATTTTTTTTAAAGAATATGTGAATATGTTACCTAATTAATTTTTAATTTAAATTTTAGAAAGGAAATGAATAGTACTACAAGTTTAAAAATAAAACTAGAATGTGGAATCTGGTAAAATAAACAGTGTCGGCATTACTCTGCAATTGTCCTGGGAAATTATATATGTGTGTGTGTGTGTGTGTGTGTGTGTGTATGTATGTGTGTATAATCTTCCAAATATTTTATTTCTAAACACTGGAATAGCCCATAAAGCCAAGACAAATTCACCCATCAAAGCTGGGCATGGTGATTCATACCTGTAATTCCAGCACTCAGGAGGCTGACTCAGGAGAACTGCTGAAAGTAAGAGGCTAGCCTAGTCTAAATAGTGAGTGCCAGGCCATCCTGGGCCATAGAGTGACAGCCTACCTCAAAAGAACAGAACCAAAGACAAAATTCACTTGTCAGACTAATGCCTCTCCAACTAGTGTCCTAACAAAAACCCTAGTGATTCTTTGAGCTGATTTTTTTAAAATTTTTAATTATTTTTATTTTCTGTGTGTGAGCTCTATGCCTGCATGTGTGTAACTGCACTTGTGTCTTGCAGTGCCTGTGGCGGACAGATCCCCGGAACTGGAGTTATAAATGGCTGTTAGCTGCCATGTTGGTACTGGGATTCAAACCTGGGTCTTCTTCAAGAACTATGAGCGCTCTTAACTGAGCCATCGCTCCAGCCCCTTGAGTTGATCTTAATACCAATACTAAATTGCAGAAAAAAATTAATAATTTACAAAACCCATTATGTATAGATATATAAAAGGCTTTCATTTATTTCACAAAGTTTTGGAACCTGCTACTATTTGCCTTTACTAGAATCTACCAGAAGATTGTTAGTAAACAATAGGAAAAGTATATTTTTCTCTTTAAATATTTGGTGCTACAAAGAGCACAGGCATTCTAGGCATCCAAGCATCTGAAATACCAACTGTATTCTTGAACTAATTTCCAAGATGCTGCTTTGGAATTACTCCCTGAGCTATGCTTCTCTTTCCAAGTGTAGACCCACAGTGAGAGCACAGGACCAGAGCTCATTTCACAAGTGTGTTCCAGAGGAGGAGCCGGTAGCCCTTTAGCACCTCTGCTTTAGGTCATCTAATGCTGAGGCGCTTCATATTTCGTCAGTGGAAATCAATCAGGAAGAAGTGTTACCTGCTTCCACACACTTCTAGTCAATCTTCATGTCATCTTCTACAAAAGAGCATAGAAAAAGGGAATCAGAACTTAAGCTGTGTCCACAAAAGCTTCCATGTAGAGACTATGTCAATGAAATTCAAACAACCTTACAATATTAGAACTATTGCTCGCTTGAAGAGATGGAATGAATTCTATCATATCAGATAAAAGTATATGTTATAAAAGGCAATAGAACATAACATGGTTACCACTTAAGAAGTATTGGCTACCATTTATAGTGCCAGAAGGTGTTATGCAGGCTGCTGGGGGAGGAAAGCCATCAATGGTCTTTCCTAGCTCTGGAGCCTGAGTACTACAATACTGATCTGCCAGGCAAGATGGTCCCACAGGTGCAATAGTGGCATAACTGTTTGGGGTATAACCAATAGCATTCTGATTGGATCTGAGGCCCACTCCATAGGAAAAAATACACACCTGGTACTGAAAACCTGGGAGAAAACCTATGGCTGGTGATATCACAGGCTCTAGGGTAGAGCTTACTGCTGACACTAAACCAACTAAATATGCAGCCAAACTGCCTTCTAAGTGTTTATATTTCTACCTTTAGACTGCTACAATACTGGCCAGAGAAGCTTTTTATTCCTGCAGTGGTCAATAGTTAATACAGAGACTCACAACAGGTCAAATGACTATTTGAATGATCAGCTATAAACAGGACATCTATATGACCCCTCCAAAACCCAGGGAACATCCCAGGAAAGCAGGTAGAAAGTTTGTAAGAGTGGGAGAATGGGGAGGAGTCCTATGGGATGCTATCTTCTGGACACGATATGGTTGGTGTGATGATGCACACACAGTAGCTATGGCTACCTGCACAAGACCTACACACAAAAATAAGACATGAAAATAAGACTCATTGGAAAGGAGGAGTCTTTGGAGTGGGAAGGGAATAAGGGAGGGTAGCAGAGTGAACATGTTCACAGTATATTGTATACATGTATGAAATTGTCAAATTTTAAATTAAAAATAATTTTTTAAAAAGCATTGGGTTTTCTTTTCTGTTTTTTGTTTGTTTGTTTGTTTGTTTGTTTGTTTTGATACAGGGTCTCCCTGTAGCCTCAGCTGACCTGGAATTCTCTATGTAGACCAGGTTGACCTCAGTCTTACAGAGATCTACCTGCCTCTGCCTCCTGAGTACTGGAATTAAAAGTGTGTGCCACCATATCCCAACAGAATTAGATTTTCTTCAATGCTAGGGAAATTAGTAATCTCTAAGCCTTAGTTCTCCATTTGTAAATGGGACAGTAATAATGCTTGCTGTGTAAGGCAGGATTCACTGAGAATGCATGAAGAGCTCTGGAACCTGTAAGTGTTCCGTTAATGTTAACTATTTTTACTTGTAGCAGAGGGATATAGATGAGACTATAACTTTTCTTAATTATTGGCACAGGGTCTTATGCATCCCAGACAAGCTATATAGCTGAGGTTGACTATGAACTTTTGATCCTCCTGCTTCCACCTCCTGAGTGCTGGGATTACAGATGTGTACCATCATGCCTGGTTCATGGAGTGCTAGCGATTGAGCCCAAGGCTTTGTGTGTGTTAGGCAAGCACTCTAGCAACTGAGCTACATTCCCAGCTCAAGAATGTAGCTTTAAAGATGATTTATCCTGGGGTTGGAGAGATGGCTCAGCAGTTAAGAGCACTGACTGCCCTTACAGAGGACCCAGGTTCAATTCCCAGCACCCACATGGCGGCTACAAACGGTCCTTAAATCCAGTTCCAGGGGAATTCGATGCCATCTTCTGACCTCTGTGGCATTGCATGACATGGGTGCACTCACATACATGCAGCAATATACTCATACACATAAAGTGAAAATGATAAATAAAATATTTCTTAAATTACTAGCCATTGTGATATAAAGATATCTTGGCCACAGGCTATGCACCCTTTCCACGCTACATTAGACCTTGTCTATGATTGGTTTAATATATGGTGTTAACCTCTGAGTGTTTTACAGATGTGAAATCCATTTGAAAGATATCAAGTATACCTGAAGAAACAAAGGCCAACTATAGCAGTAAGATTCTTGGGAGCTTTATGGTTGGGTAAAACACAAGTGATATCCACCAGGATGGTTAGGAAAAGCCTACAACACCTAATCCTGCATAAAAATAAAAACAGAGGCTCCCAAAACTGTACAACTGTTAAGAAAAAAATTACAGGGTGGGTTGCCCCTCTATGAGCTATTGTCCAGAGAGATCCTAAAGGTCCTTAAAGTAACCAAGGCTCTTGCCACTAATGTTGGTTGTACACCAGAAAAGGTTGGTAAGGCCACGTTGCTGAAAACACTCATGATGTGAGCATGAGAGAAGGAGAGATAGAGCTGAGACTAAGCTGAAAACTCCATGCCACTGGATGAATGGCTTTCATAGTGCCAGAAGGCACTATGCAGATGGTTGGGGGAGAAGGATCCCCTATGATTCTGCTCAACAATGGACTCTGTGTGCTGCACACTATTGACATGTCAAGCAATGCCTGCTGGTGCAATAATGGCTCTACTAACATATGCACAATTGACTATTCCTAATTGGCTAAGGCCAGCTTCTAGGGATGGAACACATATCTGGTGCTGTAGACCAGGCCAACCCCCTGTGTCAGAGAAGGCTATAGGCTCCAGTGGGGAAGCTGCTGCAAGTATTCTGTTCAATAAATATGGTACACCTGCTGGGGCATTGTCTAGGCATTTGTGTTTATACCCATGTTTGTTTAGATATGTCTGCTTCTTTCCATTTGTCTTTATAGTAGGGAAGACACCACTGAGATGGATCAACAACCATGTCTTGAAAACTGATGATGGGGAGGCCCAGGAGTTCAATATCTCACCACAATAAAAGAAAGATTGTCCTGCATCTGTCACCCCCTCCAAGGCTCAAGGATTCTTGCAGAAGATTGGTGGAAAGATTGTGAGAGCTGAAGGAAGGGGTGGAGTATTGGGGAGGTGTGTTCTCTGAGACAGTCACTCCTCCCACCCAATCAGTCCTGAGGGGGAGGGTCTAAAGACAGAAGCCAAGGGTGCTGGGAAGTGCTAAGGACACTGGGGAAAAAGGGGAATTGCCATTTGGGGGAACTGGGTACAGGGATAGTTGGCAGGCTGCTGGTGGGCCGCTGGTGGGTGGCAGATCTCAAAGCTTAGCCAAGATGTAAAAACAGGGCCCATGGATGACCATGTCTTTGTAAGTAACCCTTTTCTGGTTGTCATAAACTAGCCAAAAAAAAAGGAAAAAAAAAAGATGATCTATCCTAACATTCAAATCCTCTATTGTGGGATCTGAACACCACTTGGAAGGCCCACTTCTCCCCTCCCTATCTCTCATTCTACATTAGAATCAACCTGTGGTTCTTCCTCTGTTCCTTAGCTTACTCTATTCCTTGTGCCTGCTGTGTTTCCAGGCATGTTCAAACATCAAGCAAAGTGAATATCCTTGCTCTGAACCTCCATAGCATTTTCCTCCTGTGGTTCTGAGCTCTTCACATCCTCTCTAGTTTATAAAAGGACGGTTTGGATATTTACCTTTCTCTCTGTGACTGTTCTTGGAAGGTATGAATGTTTTCCTAGCTTTTACATATTCTAGAGAGCTTATTATATTACCTTGCACATAGTAGTAAATGATAAATTATTATTTATTGAGTCTTTCTTTGAATATCAAAATAGCTTATTTGAATACATATTCTAAAGTTATTTTTCTGTTGGCACTATACATCTTGTACCTAGCACTTCCCATGTGCTCATCAAATCATGGTTTAACAAATAAGTCTATACATACTCAAAAGTACAAAGTACAGCCTGTTTAATAAGCTATAATATTGCTGGCATAGTGGCATAAGCCTGTAGTCTCAGCACTTGGGAAGTTGACACAGGAAACCAGAGAGTTTGAGGCCAGAATGTATGACACAGCAGAACTCTGTCTTCAAACTTTTTGCATCAATGAAGCTGTATTATAAAGACATAGTGCAGCTTGATGGCGCAAGCCTTTAATCTCAGCACTCAGGAGGCAGAGGCAGGCAAATCTTTGTGAGATGAGGCCAGCGTGGTCTACACAACAAGGTCCAGGTCAGCAAGGGCAACAGGGAGACCCTCTCTTTAAAAAAGGGGGGACTGGAGAGATGGCTCAGCAGTTAGGAGCATTAGCTGCCTTTGCAGAGGACCCGAGTTCAAGTCCTAGCACCTACATGGTGACTAACCATCCACAACTCTAGTTCAGGGGGATCCGATATCCTCTTCTGGCTTCTGTGGGCATTGTACAAAACAGGTGCACTTACATACATGCAGGCAATATACCCATACACATAAAATAAAATTTAAATAAATAAAATATATATTGTAAAAACTTAAGAAAAGACACATTACTATCTCTTTAAAATACACCATTCATTAATTTTTTAAAGGAAATATGAAAAATTTTATAAAATAACACTGTTTCATGGAAATAGGGGCCAGAAACACAAATGAAATGGTCATTCAATCCCTTCTTCTGATTTAGAGATTATTTTCCAGATTATAACACAGTACATTCATTAATTCTCATGATATAACTAGACCATGTTTTAAAAGAAAAGCAAAAACTACAATAACCATCCTCATTTTGCAGATTGGAGTTCAGAAACCAGTCAAGACTTGAGTCACAGCACAAGGAGCCCTGGCTCTCCCGACATATGATTCTGTGGTCTAGGGCAAGGCCCCTTGCTTTGTTCATCCCAAATCAGATATTCCATGTCATCAGCCAAGGAATAGACTAAATTGTATGCCCTCAGTATCCACACATCAAAACTCCAATATGACTTGACTATATTTAGAGATGGGTCTTTAAGATATAATTAAGGATTAATGAGGTCAGAAGGCTGAGACCTTAACCTGATAGGACCAAAGGCTCTGTAAAAAGCAGAAGAGCACCAGCCATTTTTTCCTTCAGGCATGTACCAAAGAAAGACATGTGAGCTCCTGGCGGGAAGGGAGCCATCCAAAGGCCAGCAAGAGAAACTTGGTCAGAAACTAATCTGCTGGAACCTTGGTCCTAGACTTCCAGCTTCCAGAACCAAGAGAAAATGTGATACTCATTAGGTCATCCCATGCTAAGACAGTGGACTGATCAGCCACCACCAAGTCAAGTGCCAGCCCTCCCCATGAACCATACCCAGAGTATCTTTCATAACTTCACTGGTACAGCCTATGACATGGCTCTGGGTAGACAACGTAGGAGGTATCTTGTGTCTACCTCCTATCCACCTTCTTCTGGTCCCATTTCTGCCATCATCTGCCTGTGTCACACACTGTTCATGACTTTGGGAGGTGTCAGCTGCAGCCCATGTATAGATCAGTGTTTAAAAGTTACACCCTACAGGTCTCAGAACTTTGCATTTTTACAACTGAAATGTGGCTAAGAAGATTATCTTGCTCTTTTTTCTCTCTGCAAAGAGACATTTTCCGTGTGTGTGTGTGTGTGTGTGTGTGTGTGTGTGTGTTTCATAGTATAACATTCAGATGGCAACATGAACATTCAGATGGCAACATGAAGAAGCGGAAAGGTAATCCCTGGAGGTCCCATTTATCCCTAACACAGGGCCCTCCAAATGGAAGCTGGAGTCACCAGACTACTTGTTTACCACTTCTGACAACCATTCTCTTTTTCTGAATCTCAATTTTTCATCTGTGAGAATAGTGATGAATTTCTTTACAATGTTATGAAATTCCAATTTGTATAAAAACAGTTTAGGGCTGAAAAGATGGCTCATCAGTTAAGAACACTTGCTGCTCTTCCAGATGACCTGACACCCACATCAGGCATCTCACAACCACCTGTAACTCCAGTTCCAGAGCATTCAACTCTAGCTTCTGGCCTCCATACACACTTGCATACATGTGGCGTACACTCACACAGACACACACACACATACACATAGATAAAAATTTAAGAAAACAAAAACAGTTGAAACCAAACTCCTGCTGAACTACATAGCTCTCACTGAGTTCTGACTGTGTGCTCTGTCAGACTCTGAATATACGCATAAACATCACTTCCCTTTCCTTGATTTCTCAGTGTCAGAATAATCACACTTTTATGCTAACACATGATCAGATATGTAATACCTTCATGTAGTTGAAATGAGCTGAAACAAAAATTTTAAACTAGAGGAAAGTTCTAGGAGTCTTTGGAGATGAGGTGTCTTTTTTTAATTTTTTTCTGACTTCTGCATCTTACCTTCCTCCATAGAAATCCCTGGATACAGACAAATGAAGCAGGGGAGGAAAAGCACATCAGTTCATGTTCTTGTGTTTCAGATTAGCTTACAATAAGAAAAGTGAAGTGTCAGCATTACAGTTAGTATTCTGGCGAGTCATAGAGATACTGAGTGATCACCACTCAGAAACAAATAGATTTCTGAGACTGGCTGGAAATGGGGATCTACTTTTGTCAAACATACCACCTGCCTTCGCACTGAGCTCTATTAAGATTGTGCTTTTATGTCTGAGTTAGGGCATTATATTTTAGGAACTCAAATCTAGGAAGGGAGCGGGAAGGAGAAGAAGGAGAGGGGGAAGGAAGGAGAAAAGAAGGGGGAGAGAACAAGAAATAGGGATGATGACGAATGCATCCGCAGTAAACAACTTTTCACTAATCATCTTCAATCTAATACAGGTCTAGATTGTTTTAACTTGATTAATTAAATTGTCTGTTAACTAGTAGCTTTTCCATGAGATTTGTTTTCCATGCTAAGATTTAAGAAGAGGACAATCATATTTATCACAGCATCAAGTATGACAGAGATATCTATTACTATCTTGAAGTGATCTGGCTCCACCAGAAACATTCCTTATCAAAGGTGACTCTAGGTCAGTGACTCCAGCTCTGGGGTTCCCAGACTCAGGGATGTGCTCTGATATTAACAAGGCCGGACAAACCACTTTCAATATGGACTTCCAGAAATGCAAACTGCATTTAGGGTACACAAGCAAACTTCATGTCAGCCATCAGATACTGACAAGAAATTAACAGCATCTCCATGTTCCTTTGATAAACGAAATAGAAAAGTAAATTAAAAAATTAGTCTAGGTTGGTTAAAAATTTTTCAAAACCTAGATGATGTAAAGAAAACATCACTAGGACGATTCTGATGTGAAAATGCTTCTGAGAAAGAAATTTAAAAAAGAAAAACGTGATAATTGCAGCTGTTGGTGTAACCATATGTGTCCATAACTGAAAGGGAACTGAAGATAGTGTTGGTGAGAAGGCCTTGTATGAACTTTTTCATCCTTCAAAAATGTCTTTGTAAGCCAGGTATAGTCATGCACACCGATAATCCCATCATCCTGTGGCGCACATCCAGTTAGAGGCCAACCTGGGCTTCGTCAGGCACTGTCTCAAAACAAAAAAGGCTTTGTGGTAGTTGTGATATTTTTTCAATATAAAATTAAAAGAAATTTTAATTTTTTGGCTCATCCTTCAAAAATGTCTTTGTAAGCCAGGTATAGTCATGCACACCGATAATCCCATCATCCTGTGGCGCACATCCAGTTAGAGGCCAACCTGGGCTTCGTCAGGCACTGTCTCAAAACAAAAAAAGGCTTTGTGGTAGTTGTGATATTTTTTCAATATAAAATTAAAAGAAATTTTAATTTTTTGGCTTGGAAAAATGAAAAATAATAAAGAACAAGGCATGCCGTAGGCAAATCTGTGAAACTGGTGTCGCTGTCCATGGTCTACTTTGTGTCTCCTCTGAGCCTTTCCCTTCTCCCTGTATTCCCTCCCTCCACTCCTTTAATTCCAGGTCCTGGTTGGTCTCCTGGGCCTGCCTGAGGGTCAGTTCTGAAGGTGCTGCCCAGCAGGCTCCAGCTTGCTTCTCTTATCTGCCATCCTACCTTGGCTACTGTCTCCCAGTGCCAATAGCCTTTATTAAGGCCATAAGTAGTTCACAAGCACATACTACAAAGAATCTACTTGCTAACTGTGCCCCTCCTGTCTAGTGAACAAGGTTGTATAACGATTACATTGCATTTCTTAAACAACAACTCAGTCTTATATTTAGTCATCCAAGGCACAGGAAGGGAGGGAGGGAGGGGAGGGGAAGTGGGGAGGAAAAAGGAGGGGAGGGGAGGAGAGAAGAGAAAAGAGAAGAGAAGAAAGAAGAAATACTGTGTAGTCACACAGCCATGGGCATCCAATTCAGGTATCACACCTCCGGAGCTGCAGAAGTCTTAGGACTTCAAGTCAGGGTCAAGCAATCACCAACAGAAGAACGTTTGTCTTTTTATCATCTGAAAATTCTTTTAAATTCAGAGAAATGAATTCCTGTGGTCTGATTTCAGGTGGCTGGCTGCTGAGGAGATTATCTGAGGACAGTGGGGACATTTCAAATCTTCTCTTGGTCAGGAAGCCAGCCGTAGGAGAAAGGGAGCAGCATTCCTGAATGCATGTGCTGGGTCTGAGGCACCCCTCCCCACATCTGGTGGATTTGAGGCAGGTGTGAGGCTGGTACAGCTGAGACCACCAGAATTGCTGCTGCTTCCTAGGCAGAAAGAAAGCAGTGATTGGCTGACCTCTGTGGCATGGGTTCTCCCTGGAAGGCTAAACAGCACAGATGTCAGAAGAGATAAAGATGGGGCCGTGTCATCTGGATCCAGCACAGTTGTGGCACATAGCCCTATTCCATTGGGTCTAGGGCAGGGTTGTCCAGGATTCTCACTGATATTTACAGAACATTCTCCCTTTTCCTTAAAAGTCCCTGCTTGGAATGTCATCCACCATCCTTCCTGGCTGCTCCCATGCTCTCAATGAGCTCTTTTTATTCGAAGGCTTTCCCTTCCACCTCCCTCTGCCACTGCCTCCCACTGCTGTGTCCCAGCTGTGCACCACCAAGATCTGCCATTTCTCCATAATTTTAATTTCTCACCCTCTTTTTCCAGCCAACACTGCCCATCTACAATTGTGACAATAATCTGTTGGGGTTGTAATACATTAATTTTACTTTTCACAGTTCCTCACTTGCTTCCTTTCCCGATCTCCCCCCTCAACAACCTAAATGCTATGGTCGGCCACTCCCTTGTCCCTCTCTTGATTTGCTGTTAAATCCAACCCTCTGCTTCATCCCCAGAAAGCTAACAGATGTACCCCAGATCCAACTTTAACCTTAAGTGGGCCCTTAATGAAGATCATACTCCATTGACCTAGCTCTCTACTCTCCTGCACTCTTTCCAGCTTTCTCCTCTCCCTCCCTGTGCCTCCGTGCCCACCTTACTCCCAGCTTATGCTCTGCATTCACTAAGAACTTCCATGACCTCCACCACATCGCTACCCTCCATTGTGCCCACATATCCTGCCTTCCCTCCTATTACTGTTCCTGTGGTTGGACTGATTGTGCTCCTCTATCAAGCTAACCCTGCTCTGTAAACACTAAATCAGATCTTTGTCATCTGTCTGTCTGTCTGCTCAAGGACATCAACTGCAGTTCTCAATGCTGTCTCCTGTTGCTTCTTTCTAAATGGTCCCACTAGCTCTACTCACCCCATCTGAAAACTCTGATGTCCCTTCACTTTCTTATCTAGCTTTTGCTCTGCTTTTATTTATGCCAAAATGTCCCAAAGAATTTTCCATGTGTATTGTCACTTCTTCAGATGCAAATCTAACAAGGATTTGGGCCTCATCTCTCTACTGAAACTGTTATCAAGATCAGATCACCCATGCCCTCCATACTGTCAAATCCAACTGGCAATTCTCAGTCCTCTCACAGTACCTGTCAGGGTCCAGTGCAGTATGGACATTCAACCTACCTCATCCATTGCTCCTTCTCTGTCTCCTTTATCTTTCTTTTTCTTCTTGATCTCTGACATTGACTGAGCCTTGGACCTCCTATCCCTTTCATCTTTACCTACTCCCTTAGTGCTCTTATCAACAAACTTCCCCAGCATTAGGTGAGGACCAGCTCTCCTTGAACAATTAGTACCTTTTGGTCTTTATGTTTAGGCTGCTCCAATGAGATGCTGTAAACTATGTGGTCTTAAGTAATAGAAATTTATTTCCCATAGTCCTAGAGACTGGGAAGTTTAAGGCCAGCAGATTTGGTATTTCATAAGACTGTCTGAGTCATAGATCCCACCTTCTAGCTGTGTCTTCACATAGTAAAAGAGGCAAATGAGCCTCTCTCCTGGGGTTCTTTTATATGATGGCACTGATTCCATTCATGAGGGTCTGCCTCACCTTTGAAGGCTTCACCTTTCAATGCTACTGCCCTGGGGATTACATTTTACTACACAAATGGGGGATTGGGTCAAAATATTCAGACTATAGCAATTTTAAATTTTAATTTAATCTCTCAAGCACTTTTCTATCTTTTCTAGCTGATGTGATTATTCTGATCCCCTTAGTATTTAAGAGGCTAAAAGTCTATCAATAAATTGACATTTTGGTTAATAAACTAGGGCATGCATGTTCATCCATCTGCTTGTTTCTTTATCTCATGTTAGCCTCACTGACAGAAACCTGTTGCTCCAAGCATTTTCTATGGCCCAATTCTGATGCCAAGAGTGACTGACCTCCCTTACCTCTTCATAAATTGGTTAGAAGGGATTAGCCCAGCACAGGTAGCTAGGTCTGCGATTTTCCAGGCCTGCCACCAGAGGGCATCATTCTGGTCCACAATCTGTAGAATGTCCCCTTTCTGAAAGGGCAAGCCAGCGTCCATTCAGGGGATGTCAGGATCCTCCTGGGGCCAGTAATCAATCATGGCATGAATGTGAACCTGACAGCAGGTGCATAATGGTGCTGTTAAAATAACTCTTACGCAGGGGCCATCACAACTTAAAACCATTGCTTCACTTCTCTAACTACTACTCTTCCTTTTCTACCCTAACCATGAAAGAGAGTTGCTCCCCTAAACTAAATATCATGAAAAAAAATGTGTTGGCACAGGACATAAAGAAATCAGCCTGTAGCTGGGCTGGAAACGTCCTCCCTGCTGGCTAGCTCTCATAGTACTAGAAGTGCTATGCAGGCTGTTGGGGAAGAATTGTCATCAACAGTCTTACTTAGCTGTGGATACTGTGTGTAATAACACTCACCAATAAGGCAAGATGAGCTCATTGGTGCAATAGCAGCAAGTCTGTGCTGGTGTAACCAACCACTTTCTGGTTGGATTGGATGCTCACTCCATAGTAGGGACTTAACATTTGGTACTGTAAACCTAGTCAAAAGCCTGTGACTGAGGAAGTCCTAAGCCCTAGTGGGAAAGCTACCGCTGATATTTTGCTAAATGGGTATGATGCGCCTTTTCAAATTGCCTTCTCAGTCACTATGCTTATGTCCAAAGATTAGTGATGCTGTCAGCTTTGGTCAGAAAAGTTTCTTTTTGCACTGGTCAGTAGTTCCTGCAGAGATAGATAACTGGTCAAAGCACTAAGAATAGATGACTGTTGAATAAATAGCCATAAATGGGACACCTATATTATCCACTCCAAGACTCAGAGGACACTGTAGAAGAAATAGAAATAATGTAAGAGCTAGAGGAAGTGGGAGGAGAGGTGTGAAACACTGACTTACAGCATAATGTGGCTGTTACACTCAAACTCACAGTGACTATGATTACCTGCACATGATCAGGCTTGTCAACATCCTGTCACAGAAGGGGGAGAGGATCATGGGGCCCCAACCCCTCCTCAGAATTTATACACAGTTAATGAATGATGGGGAAGGAAAAGTAAAGTGCCTGTGTTCCTGTTAACAATGATAATGAAACTCATCGTGTCTGTCTCTCTGTCTCTGTTTCTCTCTCTCTCTCTCTCTCTCTCTCTCTGTAAAGTAGGGACTGGAGAGACTACTCAGTGGTTAAGGGCACTGGATGCTCTTACAGAGGACCCAAGTTCAGTTCCCAGAACCCATATGGCAGCTAACAACCATTTGTAACTCCAGTTCCAGGGGATCAGATGCCCTCTTCTGGCCTCTGTGGGCATTGCATGCACAGGTGCATGTACATACATGCAGGCAATACACTCATACACATAAAATTTTAAATGATAAAATTTTTTAAATATTTAAATGTTTTTAAATATATAGCGGATAAAGGGAAAGAAGGAGCTCAAGAGAGGTAGGACCATAGGAGAA